TGTGCTCTTGGTAACAAGTCGGACTGAATATTCATGTAACACTTTGCCACTGAACTCAACCAGTCAAAACACTTTTTACACGTCAAGTCTTGTTCATCCAGCCTCACTAAGACTGTACGTAAAGACGACAGGTGCAAAGAGAGGAAGTTGGAAGCAAACTAGCAACTTTCTGATTGCAAGACAATTGCTGTTCCCTCCCATTGAGGCTCAGCTGCCTCCAACATGAAGCGAAAGTATGTCAGATCAGCATTGCTTGCGTTCCATCTAATAACGGCGCCATCCCAATTAAAACATTAATAACGTAACAGCATGAAGCTGTTACATTATTAAAGATTAGCAATAGGTTTTGCGGATACAAGAGCTTTTCACAAGACCTTGTGAAAGGTGAAGGGTGCTTGAGGTCAATACGTTCTTGGGAGGTAATCACAGGCCCGATTGCTTTGCAAGTTGAGGGAGCGATGGAGTGATGTGGGGTTTGTGCGATCAGCCAGTAGAAGGATTTTAAAAGCTTAAACAAAACTCAGAAATCATTTCTGGATTTGAAGCATTTGCTCAGCCAGCAACAACAACTCTATGGTTTTGGAGAGAGAGGTACAGAGAGGGTTTCCAGGTTCCCATCCATAATTTATGTCTACCGCTGATCTCAAAGCCACATTTCCTGTTGCCCTGCATGACTGGCTTTGCTTTTTTAAAACTCACAGCTGTGCAGGATGTTCCATTGTCCACTTTTAATGCAGGAGCAGTGAGAATATGCTCGTCTTGTGACGGAAATGTTTTCTGAAAGACGCTCATATTTACAGAGCAAAAACCAAACAGCTTTGGGTTTATTAAGCCTTGAGGTGGAAATCAGAATTAACTGATGAGTTGCAGCTTTAAATATTAATTCAGTTTAGTTAAAATAATGCCAGTTCACAACAAGCGTCTATTTCGGAAAACCAAAAATACGAATGCCGAGTCATGCAGTTTAAGCAATGATTATAACAAATCCTAAGGAGCTGAGAGTACAAACAAATATCATCTCTTATTATTCTGTTATCTAGCAATCAGGAATAATTTTAATGCATAATCATGGTATACCAAAGGTGACTAATATCTGAGTTTTATTTGTTCTTGGGGGGTTTTCTCTCTGCAGCTCCCACCTCTCTGAAATCCCATCAAAACTACAGAGTCTTTGCACTTTTGAAGGGAATTTTTATAGCCCCACCCTAACGGGAAATTCTTTTCACAAACCTCAAATCTTGTGTGTGTTGCTTTGTTTTAAGACAGTCTGTTTGCAGAGTGAAGGTCAAAGTTACATCATAATCAGAAACATCCTACTCGATGAGTCATGTCTGCTGATCCTGATGTTGTTTCACATGTCAAATCTCCTTTTCCCACATTCAGGCTGCCAGCGAGACACATTCTTTACTCTCATGCCACACATAAACCCATTTCCACCAGTATTTATGTTCAGTCTACCTGTCTTCTCACCCTCCAACGTGGGGCAAAGCTGGAAAAAGAAGTGTTTTCTCCTGAGGTCAGAGGCTGTTACCCGTAGAGCATCATCTTCAGACATACTGACAGCAGCTAAAAGCAGAGAGGTTGACAGATGACAGTTCCCATAGGGAAGCAGAAAAAAGTGGTTCCGCATAGCAATTTTTGGAGGGTTAACTCCCTCAGATGCTCCAAAAAAAAGTATACTTTCAACTTGAAAGTATTGAGTGAATGAGAGGGATTTGGAGAGTGAAATATCCCTCCCTGCTGTGATCACTCCCTCCCTTTTTTTCTTCACGGCCGCATTCCGGTTTATGTGGGTCTAATGTAAACTTATAACCTTGGTAACCAGATTTTAACATGTTTTCCAGGACCTCCTAAAACTAAGCACAAACTGTGTTTCCAGCGAGTGGGACGAGAGGCCTGGGTTGTCCGGTGTAACGGCTGACGTGTTTGTCCTCTCGTGGGCTTGGCTGCCGTCTGAGGCAGCGTTCTCTCCTTCGAGATCATTTTTCACTCTTCCCTCTCCCTCGCCTCCGGACCAAACATCACCCTCCATCGATTCACCTCATTAGCCCGCAGCTGTCCACACGGTGGTCTCTCTGTGTCCCGTGGGAAACGTGTGCAGCAACACCTTTAAATGCTGCCCAGTCCAGAAAATAAGGGAGTTTGAGGTTGGGAGCTGAGATACAAGATGAATAATGACGTTTCACTTTCGCCGCTTCAGCCCTGACTCACTGCGTTCACAGTCTTTTCCCGCAATGTTTTGGAGAGAGACAGCAACCTTGCAGAAGACAGAAGTAGTAAGTCAACTTTGGCCGGAAATTAAACTTGTTTAATTTCCACAGTTTGAACAGAGAAATGAGGCGTCCTCTCAGTCTTGAAGGCCTTTTATTGGATTTCATTTTATACTTGTTTGTCTTCCTGACTCCCACTCGTTCTCTCAATCTTGTCATGCACCTCAACACGGGGTGCTTTAATAGACAACTTGCCCCATCAGGAGATGCATTCATCATGGTTAAACACACCCACAGATGTACACTAACGCTGACAACGCTCGCTTTCCAGATGATGAAAACCATGAATTTGAGCTTAAATGTAACCCAGGCTCTCTTTTCCAGTCCATTTCAAAAACTTCACAACCCCAGAAAGCATGCAAGTGTTCTTCGTAATTTCTAACTGCTTCTGACAGAAATAATTTATCAACATTTGCCAGTGTTCATTCAGCTGTAGTCTGCAAGCTGAAAGATAAACTGACAGCGCTGATAGCTGGTGGTATATATCAGATTTGACTGCCGAAGAGTAATTTCTTCTTCTTTTTTTTTTCCTGAATGCTTAAAAGACTCTGATATGTTCCAATAGGCTTGAAGAATTGCATAAACATTAAATGATTAAGCTGTTCTGTGCCAGGAGACAAATTCATCGTATCACCATTTTATACAAGGTGATCACTAAAGTGGAGAGGTATTCCAAAGGCATTTACTTTTATGTGTGGATGTTGATGGCGTGAGCCGCTTCATTGGACTCGCTGCACTGCCACCAATTGGGCAAGCATGGGAACTTCTCCAGACACTTCTTCAAACACACATGGACACCAGTCAGACAGAAATGTTGACGCCGTGGTGATATCTTAGCAGTTCTGGTTCACGTGTGATGATGATTTCAAGCAGATTTGGGAATATTATAAAAAATATATACTCTGAAATTTTAATTGGCTATAAATTAGAGCTGACATCACAATTGAAAATAAAATTGTGTGCATTTAAGTCAGGAATTTGTTATTATGCATTTTATTTGTAAGTGGAAGTTCGATTTTTATTTTCCCTTCAGAAATACAATCAGAATGCCACCTGAATTTAAAACCCCAGCTGGGAAAGTTAGAAGTCGACTAGGAGCTTTGAGTCCAAAATGGTTTCCATCCGTAAAAATGGATGGAAATCATCCATTTTGTTCTGTAAAATTGTATTTGCAGAACATTTAGCTGAACTTTTTATTGCACACATAGTATTTACAGCCTTAATTTGAGAACCTTTAATGTATTACAGCATAAATTGACATACATAAAAGCAATCAGCTGCATGTCAACTTGCAAAAAAACCACGCTCAACTTGGTTGTGGCATCTTTCCCAGATCCAAACTTTGGCGACTGAGTTAAATAAAACAAAACATAATTGTAAGCAGAAATTACAACGGGAATGCTGCATTATTACCAAAACGGCCAATCACAATGTCATTTTTCACATTTCATGAATTCGAAGTATGAAGAAACTTTTTCACAAATAAATATCTTGCTGTTCTATGTGCACTACTAGTTATATGAGATATAAGCAATCACCATATACAATATTTACATTTTTTTTTTTTTTTCCAGTGGCAGCCATATTGGATGGTGAATTCATTTTCACAAGCCCCTGAAATCTCAGGAGGGGTTCTTGTATTTTCAACTGAGAACCTGTAAAACCCCATCTAGTAATGATAGAATGCATTACTATAGTCAATGAATATCCCTAGAGAAATATTAACAACACTAAGATGTGATGTAGTCATGGGTTCCATTACTCTTTCATGTCCTTTAGTAACTTGGGGTGGGGATGCTTCTAAGTCTGATTTATTGACCTGTCCTTTTAACATGTATTTGAGTGACACTATTCTAGGGTGATGTTACTTTTACCTATGTGCAGATTCTACTCTGGTTGTGTTCATGTTTTCACCAAACATACAGATAAACAGACTCACATGGTTTATGATGAAAAACCTTATCTGGACTTAAGCTTGCTTGTTTTGTGCAAATACATACATATTATATTTGGACAATACAAGTAATTTCTACAGTTCAAAAATACAAATCTCACCTAACTTAGGTGTTGATTTCAAGAGCTTTATGTTTTTAAGAATCGATATTTAGAACTCGATTTTCGAATCCAGTTCTAAATCAATTCAATCGATTTCATTTTTCTATGCCTGATTAAGTCACAAAAAAGAAAACAGGTAAAAAAGGTAGACAGCAAATATGTCTTACTCTTGTTTGAGGTATTCTTTTGAGATAACTTTTAATTACTTCAGAACAAAAGTTTTTAAAGTAATGCTCTTTTTTATTTAAACCAGTTGTTTATAACATTTAAACATAATCTCATCTTAAAAAATTCTTAACTTTCTTTATAATGCTGCATTTTCATTTTATTTTATATATATATTTTTTTGCAGACCTAATAAACAGCATGTAAAGTTTTACCAAAGGAAGCTTGCTCTCTTACTTTTCTTAAGTACACAGGCATTCACACACATGTTGTCGGCAGCTGTATTGCCGACATAAGTGGAAAATGGTCTTCATATATAACTTTTTTTCTCTCTCTCCGGGTTTGGGTAGAGGGCTTATTGAGGGAAACAACCTTTAAAAGAAAAAGAGGCCCCCCTCAGGATGTCTAACATGTTTCTGCCGGGCCACAGTCCGCTGGCTGGCGCGGTGCACATGCTTGTGGTAGGCTGTTTGTCTGTGCGAAGCTGGCATGGCCTCCCAGTTCCCCCTGCATCTGTTCTCCATTAGACGAGCCGAGAGTATAAAGCAGGCAGCTGACAGGGGCTGGGAGCTAGTCTAGTTCCTGCCTGGCTGGATCATGGGGTTTAGCGTGTGGCTGTGCGTTCTGTGCCTGCAGGCGAGCCTGCTGTCGCACGCCCTGGACTGCTCAGAGGGAAGCCAGGGAGAGCTGTGCGCTGCTGGACAGACCGCAGACAGACAGGTAAGTGACGCACTTTAATGGATCTGATAGTTAGGGAAGGGCAAAGTGTTCATCATGTGTCAGTCACCGTCTGTGCTGCTCAGACACTGCCGGGGTAAGTGCTGCCAATACCAGTCTATTAAAACGTTGTGTAGAGAAAAAGACATAATAACTAACCTCGGGTCAAGCAAGACTGAGACAGAAGTTGTGATGTAGTAAAAACTTGCGTTGATAAGTTGTTTTCTAGATTGTGATGCATTATTTTTATGTCCTTTCATTTTGTATATTTTCCCATGAAATGTTGAAAACATATTAAAATCATTGCAAAGAACTGTATATTTTTGTTGCTTACTAAGACCTATGAAGACCTGTCATTTTACAAGCTTTGTTTTTCTGTTTATAAACTGATGTAATCGTTAAATCCTTCATGTGTATATTTGTAAAGCAATATTTCTAAGTTTGTTTGCATTTTTGGTTTAAATACCTACACAGATTTTGGTCCTTTTCCCTCAGACATACTGTGGTCAGTGTTTACACTGTCGCTCGGCCAGACCAAACCAGTAACTCTGCTGGAATGTAACTTCTTCCACTTAGACTCTTATGGTCTAACCCTGACCTGTGGAGACGTATAATTTTTTTCATTCTAACAGAAACAAAGTCTCATTGTAATGGTTTTTACAGTCACAGTGCCACCACACCAAAATACATACCCATCTGTGGAACAAAATCATCCGGCTCCCCTGTTCTTTGGCTTTTCATGTGGCTGCCAGCTGTGAGACTTTAGACTGGCATTTAGCTTGTTTTTCCTCTGAGATGGTCCTCGTGTTCTGTCCAAAGTAATCACCCTCATCTGGTCAAAAGATCTGACAGCTGCAAAAAAAAAAATGGAGAGTCTCATCCGAAAAAGTTTGCGCCATATGTGCTCTTTATGCAGCAGTTATTTGTAATGTAATTACAGCATGCACACAATTATAAGCTTCAGTTGTGGTGAGGACTAACTAATACCAGCAGCAGTATCTTTTTGCGCAGGCTATATTTACAGCATTTGGCTTAGTTTACTTGTGTTTTGCCCTTTCCTGCCAAAATAATATGCACTTTGACATGAGAGCTGCACATTAAATCCAGAATTTATGGGATTTACCGAGAGTAACTGTATTTATTCAAACAGCAGAGAGATATATGCGTAGTGCCAGGTTTTGATGAGTAATATCCAAATGAACTTCAAAGACAAACATCACATTTTAGTGTGGAATTACTGTTTATTCTGAATTAAATTGAGTCTGATTTTGCGTTTAAATTATACACTGCGAATGCATTTTGACTCTGACTTCATTTTTTTTTTCTCAGCATGATGACAAAAGGCAGCAGAGAGGGCCACACTTACCTGAGCAGCTGGTATGTGCAAACATCCACACTTTTGTTCCATTTAAACCCCCAAATGTTTGTGTGGCCGTCAGTTTTTGCCAAGTCAGTTCATACAAAAATAGAAATAATGTCAAGGAAAACAATGAACACAAAGCAGAGTGGTGCTGAAAAGTTTGAGAGTCGTTTTAAATGTCTTGTATTTCTGTGGAAACAACATGATGCTCAGGGATGCCAGAAAGGGTCATCTCTGTGCTGCGTTTGATTGATCTCCGAAATCGGAGATGGGATCTGTGACATAGAGGATGAGCTGAGCGTACGTCCTGGTGGAAGGTTGGATGCCACTGTGATTTTATGTGTTCTGCTGCACACATAAAATGCAATTTTCTACATTTTATGTGTGCAGCAGAAACTTTGGACACTAATTTCAGGGTTGTTTGGACACGTCCAGATTCCTGAGTTGAAACTCAGAGCTCATTGGGAGTTCTTGTTTTTCCTACTGGGAGTAGGAAAAATCCAACTTCCAAGTGTGAAAATAACTCAGCATAAAAACTGAGTTTCTCACAATAACTGGTTCACATTACAAACCAAATAAGTTGGTGGTTTCTTTTCTTTAAATATAATTCTTGATTTTAGTCAAACCATGTTGCTACCACCATGCTTTGCAGACTGTATTAGGTTTTGTGTCTTACATTTTTACATATTTTTTTTTATTCACACTTGCAGCATGAATGCATTACTGTTTAGTGTTGCGCTAACAGTGGCCACATAAACACCACCATGAACCAATAAGTTATTTATTCTATCCACGTAATAAAATGCCTTGTCACTACTGAGAATATTACGCACTTTCCTGCTCCTTCTTTATCAAATATTTAATGTCACACATTTCAGTAATTTAAACTATGAACAAAATGTCTGATAGTGGATCAGGGGAGTCTTATTGGTATGTGGTTTGATCGTTTGCTGCATCAACCTTACCAACTTTCCCATGTTCGCTGTCTCTAAACAAATGAATACATACATTTATCACTGTTAGTAAATGGCGACATTCTTCTGTGTTAGAAAAAATAAAAGTCTTACAAGATTCAAAATGATCTTTGAGCCTGAATCACAATAATGCAAGAAATTCCCCATAAAAGCAATAAAGTTATGCGTGTTCATAACTTCTACCGCCAAACTGCAGCGGTCGTCAAAATGGAGATTAATGGGAAAAGCTGCAGGCAATTTAAATAGAATTCAAATTATTAGGATTTTTTTTTTTGACAACTAAATGTCCTCTTTGTGGAGAGTAAAACCTGTTGTTTCTTACAGTGACTGGCCATATATTAGGAAGATGGTTGGATCAATAGCAATGATTTATCCTGAGAAAATCAATGCAGTGAACAGTGAGAGTGCAAACATTATTAATTTAGCTAAATCCTAAAATCGACTCCAAGCGAATGAAAATTAATTTAAGGTGAGGCGGGGTGAAGAAAGCCAGGGCAGAAACAAACTGGGGCTCAGCGGACCCCAGCGGGATAAAGGACTTGATTTTTAGCACCCAGAGAGGCATGCAGGCGTTGTTGTTTCCCTCTGTGGTTTGTGGTTGTGACTGTCTCGTCCTTCCTAGGATTTGTTCAGACGTAAGAGGCAGCTGGAGCGGAGGGGCCCCACCCACCTGAGTCACCACAACCTACCAGGAGCCGTCTCGGTCAAGGGCTTCCCTAACACTCTGATCCAGGTGAGCCGCTTCTCGTAGCCACCCAGAAATCAGGCCAAACCGGGTCCAGGGGTGGGGAGGGGATAACAAGTTCAAAGCTAACTATATAACTCAACCCAAATTTTAAATCATATTGGATCATTTGAAGATGCTCACTGACAGTTTTTACACGAGAAAAAGATAAACTCTGAACCCTTCATCACGCATAAGTCGCTTTTTTTGTTACATTTTGCATTTCATTTTACCAGTTAAAATCTGTGCATTATATTTATCCCCACACCCTCATAAAAAAAATTATATGAGCAAAAACTGGTAGTCATGGCCCAAAACACTTGCAGCTGTGAACTCTGACTGTACATAGATTTTATTACGGGAGGCAATTGAATAACGATTATTCACTGCTTTTTGTTGCTCTGTCCCAAAAGACCCAAAAGAGAGCTACATGTTTATAGCTGTAAAATGCAAAAGCTGTTATAAGGGAGCATCGGTATTAGGAACCCTGCAGTGTCTGTGTGTGTGTGAGAGAGAGAGAAAGAGAGAGAGAGAGAGTTTGTGCATTACTGTCTATATAATTCCTGTGTCAATGTTTTCCTTAGGCTGACAGGTCGAGGAGACACTTGCCTCAAACTGTGCTGAATAAGAAGAAGAACAAGCGTAAACACCGCCCAGGCTCCTTCTCCCTCCTTAGCAACGACAAGACAGCCAACCCCCTACAGGTGGGTTTCCATGGCAAACCAGAGGCAGCGGAGGAACAGCTGGTCCATACAGACATGATGTGATAAGGCTGCATTGCTCTGTTTCACTGGACGGGCTCAATGTTCTACATCTGAGGAGTTTGTTTTTGTGAAACCCAGCCGACCCAATTTGCCGCCTACGAGCAGAAATGATGTCAAAGCCGATAAAATGTCAACAACTAACGCAGATGCATGTCTGGGAACGCTTTCAGGTGACCAGAGTGAGGAGACAGGTGAAGCTTGACCCTCCCAAGAGGGGAAAGTCGGGTCGTTCTGGCGCGTTCTCAGTCCTGGTGAGTCATCACTTACATTCATCTTAGCGCTGGAGCGCAATATCTGATCGGTGTTTAAATGACAGTTCCCTGTGCTCTGCAGGGAGACCCTCAGATTGATGGACAGAGCGACGGACAGAGCGACGGGCCTGAAAGGACCGTGTAAGACATCAAGTGCTGCAGGATGGGAATGCGAATCGTAACGAAGGATGCGCACAGTCCAACTAAATGGGAAATGTTTTGCATTATAGAAGAGAAAGGCTATGAAAATCTAACATTCGCATTAAAGCCCTAACTGTTCTTATTTAGTTTCTCATCAGGTAATTTTTAAGTGTCTATCATAATTATTTTACTGGGAAGCTGGCTTACACTAATCAGAGCTACTCTATTGTATATTCAGTTCTATTCTTTGTGTCTGCATGTTATATTAAGAGATCTTGTAGTACTATTTTACTTTGCCATTTTTCTGTCACATATTTAATCACATCTAAGTGTTTGAAGTATATTTTTGCACAACTCTTTTATTTTTTTTTTTTTTTGGTAGTTTTTCCTTGCTGTCATATCAGGTTCCAGTAAACTTAAACGGAGAGTTATAATTAACAAGTCTTTATTAATTAAACATTTTGTACACTTTTATTAAGTGATTTTCTTGCTCTTCACTCTAAAATAAGTTACTTTTTCTTTTTCTTTCTGTGATTTAACAGACGTTTCAGGCATACTGAATGGCTTGCACTGATGGCAGCGGGGTGCGCCCAACAGGGGCTTACAAGAGACCCTCCAATCCGTTCAAATTACTGCAGCCAAAGGCAAAAGGCTTCCATGTAAGAGAGAGAGAGAGAAAAAAAATTTAAATCAAGTCCAGACCATCTGTTGCAGGACCTGGACTGTTTAAAAAAAAATCTAGTGCCATTTTAATTATTTTTGGCCAGAAATGGAAATGCAGTTTAGTCTAGATAGAAAGATTACTTTCAGCATTAGACATGGGAAAATATGTGCTCAGAATGAGATCTTTGTGGACTGCTATGAGGTTCGGGCTTATGTGGAAAAACCACCTGTGCATCGCTGCGACGAATGCAGGATTGAAGAACAGAGCTTACCCTGTTTTAATTTCTGGGAAAACAACGTAAGCCGTCCAAGGGTTTACTTTGAACAATTTTTCTTGTCTTGTTAAACATACATTGCTTGATTTTTGCTTTTGCTATGTCTCCACCAGTTTCCCAAGTATTTGTTCATTGTTCGGAATAGGTCAGGCTAGCGATCCAATTTAGTCAGGCTGGAGAAATAACATCTTTGAAAGTCACATTTCCACATGTTCTCAAACGTGTTTAGGTCTGGACATGACTGCTTCCAACTTGCTTCCCATTATAGCTCTGCCTGTATGTTGAGGGCTTTTACTCTGGAAGAAGGAGAAACTCTGCATCATTCTCAAGTCTGCCACCTCCACCATTCCTCACTTTGGGGTTAATGTGTTCAAGATGATGTGTAATGTCAAGATTTTACCATATGAAATGTTGTACATGTTGGCTAAAAAGTTACATTTTGGACAAATCTGACCAGAAAATCTTTATCGAACACTTCTTTCACCTTTTCTGTGGAGCTTTGCAACTCCTCCACTGCCACTACGGGCTTCATTTCTTCTTCTCTGATTACTTTGTCAGTTAAATTTACGGCAGGGTCTTTATAAGGTTTGCAATCTTTCCATACTCTTTCTGTCTTTTGGATGATGGACTGAAAAGTGCTCCGTGAAACTATCTTAATGTTGTTTCACTGCACATTTCTTTCAATATCTCCACAACTTCGTTCACGACCAATCAGTTGAGTTCCTTGATCTTCAAGTTGTTAAAAAGATCAAATAGCAAAAATATGCTTGAAAAACGCCATTTAACTAAATGAGTTTAAAAGACTATGGAGTGACTAATTCACTCCTCATTTTCTGATCAAAGCCTCTACCCTCGCTGATGTGAGATGAGGAGTGCTCATGATCCCATTTTTGTGCTTTTTCCAGGCACAGACAAAATCACAACAAAAAAAAGTGCTATTTATAAACCTGGCATTTTCCCCTAAAGCACATAATTGGTGCAAAACATGCTTCAGCAGCTCGCTCTGGGAGAAAATAGACAAGCATAAAGCCCTGATGTTGTCATTCAGTTATCACGCAGCCTGAATTAGCAGGATGTGATCAGTCTCAGTCATCCTGGCGACAATCCATCATGGGAAATGGAAATCTGATTTCTCTGACTCACTGATGGAAATAAAAAAAAAGGAGACCTTACTAGGAGGATGAGAGACACGCGCTTGTAGTTTTCAACAATAAAAAGCCATCCAGGTATTCCTTGACTGCGTTTGTAAGTAAAAGTGGACCCAACACCTCGCTTAAAGCCGTTGGTAATCCTCAGAGTATGTAAAAATAGATTTAAACGGTTCCTGAGTATTTGTTTTTGCAAATCTTTGAATCTAAGCGTGAGTCTGAGGATGTCAACAAGTGTGTCCAAAGCAAGACTGCGGCTGTTGTTGTGCACTGCGGTGTTGTAATGGTGTGTGGCTTTGTTTCCGCTCTGCTTTGGCTCAAATCTTTCTCTCCGGAGCAAAATTGATCACAGTGATGACTGACCGAATAATCTGGAAGCTATTAATCTGGAGGTCTGTGGTAGGAAGTGATGCAGGCGGGGGTGGCATCTCAGACTTTCCCATAAAAGCCCAGTCAGGTTCATGTGTAGTTAGTGGCTTTTGCAGTCAATTTCACCAAACCCTAGAAGCCACGCTATAAGTGATAGTTTCACTTTGACCATCTCATCCTGAACAACACGCAATGTGGGAAAACTTAGTGATAAACATGTTTGATGAGAGCAGCAGGGATAAATTTGTCCTTCTAGAAAACTTTGAGATTTATCACACTTTTGATCGAGTCTTTGATCATGACAATGAAGAATATGTACACCACAAATAATTATTAAAAACCTAAGCAATTTTATAGCTCCAATGATATTTTTAGTACAAAAGAGACAATGAGGTAAGGAATATTATCTGTGGATCAAACTTGACTGTGAAATTGAGTGAAAATGTATTTTATTGACACAGCTTATTGAGAACTTAGCTGTTACATTATTTGAGGGATAAATAAATGGAACAACTAAATAGACTAATCCTATAAAAATCTTACATCATTGTGAATAGATTGTGTCACACTCAGGGTTCAGGGTAGAAGGTTTCCTACAAACCTTGATCTAAACTCAAACATGGCTGCATTTATCAGCCACAATAATGGCTGATAAGTAGTCAACATTTCAGTTACTCTTCAGTTTGTATCTCATTAAAGGTTTTTCATACATAAACGCATCTTTATGTACATCCTGCTTTAGTCTTTGACTGCAACATGCACTGTCATTACCCAAATTGTAAACATGGCACTTTCCCTTTAAGTAATTTTAATTAAATCAAAAATAAATGTCCAAATTACTTATCTTCCACATGTGCTTATTCCTTATATATTACAACAAATTTGCTTCATGTTTAGGTTGTAAATAACTGAAGCTAAAATTTCCTCAGAGTACAACCACTAGAGGCATCCCAGGGACCACCAGTATGACATTTGAATTCAGAAATGCTCGAGATGTATTTGTGTCGCAGAAGTAGATAAGTAAAATTGTTAAGGCTGTACATAATAAAATAAATATGAATAAAATTTAGAATAACAAAGAGTAACATTCTTATAATCTGCAACAGTACTTCCTGTCATCATTAAAACATGAACAGCAAAAAAGTAAAGTATTAGTAGATAACATGAAATTTGCAAAAACTGAAATAAACAACTGATGAGAGATAACATATACTTTAATCTTCAACTAAAAGCCATACTTAACAGATGTGTCTTTAATTTGCTTTCCAAAATTTAAGCCAGTCTTTAAAAATCAGCGTGTATGTTGCCTCATATGTTGCCTTTCATCAGACAAGCTGCACTCCCACATCAGAGCCGAAAAACTTTGATGAGCACAAAATAAGAACGGCTGAGAGAAATGAAAATAAGTAAGTCAGTGTATTTATCCCAAAAATATGTGTTGGTTCAATTTATCCACCTGTAAAGGTTTAAAATTAAACATGGTGTCAGATTTCCCCTGAGCTGTGATTCCAGTGTGAATGGAAGTTGAAATGAGGTACTTCCCCTCTCAATATTCCTGAAGTGCTTCTCATCTGACCTCAGACTGTAGCCTCCCTTTCAGGCTGATCGTGGCTCCTTGTGGACATGTCCTGCCACCTCCCATTAGATCACAAACGGGGCGTTGGCTGTCGCCCCCGTGGTCGTGTCACTCTGAGCAGCTCTCTCTGAAATCTGTCAAAACATCCTGTCTCAGTGGTCCCACTCTGTTACATCGCTCTCACTACAATGAGGAAAGAAGAAAATAGTATGAGCTGTACATTAAAATTTACCTTAAAGTAAAATAAAAATTCAAAAACTATAGACAGGTGAAAATATAAATAAATATATATATGTGCATATATATATTAAAGAATGCTGTTATAATAATAATAAATCCAGTGAGAAAAAACAATTGCAAAACAAAACCTGTGTTTGAGATCAAAAGGAAGAAGTAAAAACAAAACAAATATATTAAAATAGTGTAGTGATTTATGGTTAGACTGACACTACCGAGTCAGTCGGTTTGTTTCACAATATGTGGCCCCGATAGCTGAAGGCTACAGAAACGAGCTGAAAACTCACATATTTCTGCATTCTGAGAACGCAGTGCTCTCTTGGGACGATGGGGAAGTGTTTAAAAAATGATGAAGGCTGGTCTTTGACAGATTTGTAGGTGAAAGGATAAATTTTGAATTCAACTGTGCAGGGGGCCGGCGCAGAGATTTTAATAGAGGAGAAATATGGCATATTTTGCTCGTCCTTATCTGCACTCCAGCTGCAATAACTTGAATGAGTTGAAGTTTTCGTAAAGAACTTTTGGATCATCCAGATAACCTCATTTATTTAGGCAAGTTTTAAGCTTTATTGTGAAACATAGCGCTTCAGGTTTTTGTATTGTTGCGTAAGTTGGAAGAAAGCCGGAAGTAAGACTTGGGGGCCGGGGATTTATGTTGGGTGATGGAAATATGTTAGTCAAAAGTATTTACCCACAGCTAAACCTGAAGCCAAGACTGTACCATGAACTGAAACTGAGACTAGTGGTATGTTAATATAATGTTCTTGAGGGTCAGAAACAATCATTGCTGTTTCTGACACATTCATTGTGTTTTTGGAAAATAGCGTCACAGACTGACAAAGCTTTCTCACCAGCATGCAAATATCAAAACTTGGGATTGATGCAACTTCAACGCACCAGTTAAAAAGTATCAGCTCAAGCACTGAACCATGGGGAACTCCATCTAGCAGTTATTTTTATTTTGTACAACAAAAAGTTTTATGACATTGTTCAATATATCTTCAACACTGTTACGTCACAGTTTTCAAATACATTGAAACAGTTTTGATCATTGAACAGTTTTGATCATTGAACAGTTTTGATCGCAATATATTCGCAAGCTTCGATAAGGGTGTGGCTGAAATTGGTCATTTTTTAAAGGACTGAGCACAGATTGTATTTAACAAAGTGACGGACATATTTCCTACCTCTGTAGATGTTTTGCCAATTTTTGATTTTCTTTCGGCCTAAAACAACTAGACTTAAAAAACTTGATTGTGTTGTCGAACAATTACTTTGTCTCTGACAATTACTTTCATCGCCCAACGTGAGACAGTAATATGGGAACTATTTTTTGTTGGCAATCTTCAAAGTTGTTCTTATCCTTGACATCACACAGACAGATAATGGATGTAGCCTGTGGTGAGCGGAGCCGAATAAAATTTGCAGGATTTTGTCAGTTTTGTCTCTGAGCAGTATTTCTCTGGAGCTCACCTTGAAAATGATTGATGTCTCTGAATAACAACTACATCCACAGTGTCCTGCATACATTATCAAAGCAGAAAATGCAACACAGTTAAACTCACTGCCCCCGTATCCGTAGCAAAACTGACTTGTTTGAAGATGGGTGCTCACTGGCATAGTAAAATGACTGCATACATAAAGACTGGGAAATGAAAGGAGATAATTAGCGGAGGTTACAATGTACAGCCTGCATAGATGGGATTCAAGGTAGAAACGTGCACCAAGGCAGGGACGTTTCCTACATCTGCATGAGCCTGAGCCAAGGTTGAGGAGAAAAAGTGCTTCCTTGTTCTCCCTTCCCTTCAGACTGACAAAAAGGTCACCGCAAGCTTTGAAGTGGACAGAGCTGTCAGGGGAGGGAAGCCGAGAGGAACACGCAGGGAGTCGGGCGGGCGGGAGATGAATTGCAATCAGACTGCAGCCTTCGAAGATGGAGCCGCAAAGCACATCGTACTGGTACACATTAGGTCACTGTCTATGAGCAACCACTTCAGTGAACTTCGAGTAGAGAAGTAGCTGTAATATGTGGTTGGAAAAAGTAACTGGTTTGTCCTTTTTGAGTCAGTCTTGCGTGCGCTCATTTGAAAAAAATAAATAAATAGCAACCAAAGCAACACAAAATAACCTCAGATTATAGAGCATGATTAAGTCTGACGGAGGGACACGGAATGGAGATAGGAATCACATGGGGCTTTTTCGTTCCCTTATCTCTTAGACAGAGTAACATCCCCATCTCTGTTATCTGACAAAGAGTTTGCACAATACCTGCAGCAACAATAACTGTCTGTCAGAATCACAGATAAAGAACTAAACACCCATCCTCTGCAGAGAAGACATACAAGGTGAGGAGAATGAAAAGTATGAGGATAAACCACACAGTGATTAATGCTCCCAAAGCTCAAAAACTCTCCATAGTTCAGCTTCCCGACCGTGAGGTTGAAGAGGACCAGCCGGGGCAGAAACACATTAACGTTTCATTTTCTGATCCTAAATCTGTCCCTGGAAGGGACTGTAGTCTCACATTGAATTTTATTTCAGAGTCATAAATAGCTGTTACAGGGCAGCAGAGCAGGCTGGCACTTTGGCGTTCCCGAGAGGACAATAAATCATTTGGTCATACATACTGCAGCGGTGCCCCAATCCCAGGATCAAAGAGTTTCCTCTGCATCTCTGCACCACTCCGCTTCCCAAGAATGAAGCTCAAAATTAGAGCGGTGCAAGAGCTGAGAGAGAACATGCACTGCTTTGTGTTTTGAATGATCATCGGTTTGTCAGTTTAGCATTCATCCCGCAGACAGGTTCTAGGGGGCCTTAGAAAAATATTCTTCTCCCTGCACATTCGCCCCCATTATAAATGAAGACGTCATTGTATTATTTTAAAATTTCTACAGTAAATCAAAGCAAAGTACTGCATCATTATGAAATGAAAGAAGAAATTACACAAATATACATCTGAAAGGTTAAGTGTCTGTTTGTATTAAGACCCAAAGTATATCAAAGTATCACAGTCCAGCCAAAGTCCAGAACTAAATCTGATTGAGGATCTATGGCAAGACTTGAAAGTGGATATTCACAGACTCTCAACTTGAGCTTGAGAAATCTAGCAAGAAACAATGGACAAAATATTTTGTCTGTAGATGTGTGAAGCAGGCAGAGCCACACCTCATAAGACTGCACCTGCAATAAAAAGTGATTAATTGATGTATTAGTTCAAGTCGGCTAAGATTTTCTTTTTTACTGAAAACTGCATCCTTTTTTTACATCACAGCGACACTTGTTTCCACATGTCAGTGACATAAGAACTCAAAAAAATGTATTGAAGTTTGTGGTTGTAATGATAAAGTGTGAAAACATCAGATGTCGTAACGTGTTTTAACTTTACAATTATTTATCTTAAACGGATATTTAAAAAAAAAAAGGTTTAGGTTGATTGAGTCTCGCTATGTCCGACATATTATCAGGACTATAGCCAAACAACAGCACACTGATGGAAATACTAGAAATACCTGGTCCTCCTGCAGGGAGGAGAATAATACACCAACACGTTTAACATTCTCATAACAAATTCATAAACCTCTCAGAGTAATTTAGATCTATTTTTGCAATATTAGCTGAAAAGTATTTGTGCTCTGCGGGGTATAATAAGCCTGCTTATGTCTACTCAGAGCCACACAGTCTTATAGGCATCAGTGATGTGGGAGAAATCACATTTGAAATCTGCATGTACTCTCTTTCTGCTGCTAGTTCTTCTGAATGGGTTTTCCACTGTGTAAAACATGCAGAGCTTGATGTGGACCGCCCTCTTGTGGTTAAAAGCAGAACTTATAAACTTGGAAAAAACGAGACAAAATATATTTGTGAAAAATAAAAAAAAAAGATGGACACAGTTGCAAAAAATCAAAAACGTTAGTTTTTTTTAAAGCAAAAGTTAGCTTTTTATTTTGTCAAAACTTTGTTCCCTCTAATTGTGTCAGTTCTTTCTCTTTTTTTGTTAATGATTTAAAATCTTCATGTTAAGATTTAAGAGGCCATTCATACTTACTTTCCTTTATGATAAACTGTTTGATACATTTCCTAGTAATTGTCATTACTGCTATGCAGGTTTTTTAAAGATTCTAGTTAATTTAAAACAAGGTTGTTGTAGCATGACTCGTCTTATAATTACCTTTATTGTATATTCTGTATTTGAAAACAACGGCTTTATGCCATCTATCCAAAAAGAAAAAAATCAAAAAAGAAATAAAGCACATTGTTATGACGTTAGATTTAATTCAATGAACCATTGTTTCCATTGGTCTGAGATGAGGAGGCGTCCAGTCGGGCAGCCTGATGGTCCCCTTGCAGCAGCGCTTTGTCCCTCTCCAACGCCACCTGCACGACCTGCTTTGACATCGCCTGGTATTTGTCACTCATCCTCTTTACTTCAGGCTGGTAGCCCTCACACTGCACTTTCAGCTTTTGCATGTCCCCGATGAGTTTGTTGTTCTCTCTGACCAGCCGTTGATGCTCCAACCAGTGGGCATCTTTGGCTCTCTTGGCTCTCTGCAGGGCCTCGGCCGCGACGGCGGCCGCCTGCCTGTACTCCTCCTTCTCCCGCCACGCACTCTTCAGCTCTCCGGCCAATTGCTCGCTCTCGGTGTACACCTTCGGGATCAGGTCGATCTCCTTCGCATCCACTTCTCCGTTCTGCAGCAGCTCAGACCATTCCGCTTCGAAACACGCCAAAGTCCCCGTCATGCCGTGTTGGAAAAGGAAATTCAGCAAAAAGTCGAACACAGAAAGCTGCTGTTCAGAGGTGCTGGGCCTCCGATTAATCGAAGCGACCGCCTCTGCTCGCTCCTGGATGGCTTTCTCTGTCGCTTCCAAGTCTTCTTCGTGTCCTCCTTTTACGTCCTGACCATTTTTAAGAGCTTCCGCACACTTCATGGCATCTCCAACCGCCGTTGTAGTTTGTAGTTTTCCAGTTTTCTCAGGAGAGTTCATCCTTTCGCTTGAAGGTAGCGAAAAAAGTTAGTTTTGACCGTTGTCGTGGTTACGACGCGAGACTAGCAACGCGAGATTTCACGTACTCTCGTCTGTCACCAAACAATCATGGCGGACTACCGAGAGGCGCCCTTGGCGACTCGGCCAAAAACACTGGACCCAAATGAATATTTCAATCTTTCTCCGAATTACAGGCGCGCAGAGGAGGAGCGGGCAGCACTGCGGGCCAACCTAAAGAGGCAGTACCAGCTGCAGCTGAACAACCCGCACAGGACTGAGCTCATTGTAAGTGGCTAAGTTAGCATATTAGCAACCAAAGTCACCCCTGATTTAAGGAGAGCTAAATGCTACTGACGGTTAAATGTTATCACTGAACCTGAACAAAAAGTGCTCAGCATCGAGTATTTGTTAATTTTGTATTTATTTCCTATTGCTATATGTGATTATAAAGGCAGCTCTAGCGATTATATGTGAATGTTGAAGTTTTCCAAGTAACGTCAAGCTAGCCATAATAATTCAGACGGCCGTTGTTAGAAAAGAAGGTATACAGCATGAGCAGAGATAAATAAAGACATTTTCAGTGGGTTTATATGGGTTATTTAACTATTGTCATTTCCTCTTATGTGTCATAAACAGCCACGTGTAATGGGAAAAGAACGAGATCCATAAATTAACTTAAAGCTGCAGTATATAACTTTCTTTCTAAATAACGTTTTTTGTTTTTTATTCAGTCTGAAGAAAAGCACTGCTCTCGACCGAGTCCAACCAATCAGAGCCTAAATGAAGCTCTAAGCCACATGTGTCAAACTCCAGTCCTCCAGAGCTGCTGTCCTGCAGTTTTTAGATGTGCCACAGTTACAAAAAATTTGACTATATCTAACTATTACAGGAAACTGTTTTATCCGCTCTCATTGATGGTGATGCGAATTACCCTCCGCATACATGACATTCTCTGTTAGCTACAGCAACATAGCAGAGATGAAGTGGGGGAGAATGATGAGCAGCAACATGTGGTACTGTGATTGGCAGCATTAAGACCCGCCTCCTAGCTCTGATTGTTTTTTTTTTTTTTTTCTAGTTAGCACCAGGCAAAGGTAAAGAGGCTTGGTATTTTTCACAGATTATCGCTCTCATACCATCCTGTCATAACAACAAATTTTGCTGTCCGGTAAATTTTCCCAAAAGTTTTTGCAATAAATGATGATGTTGTTTTGAGACTGTTTTCTGTTAATATAATGGTGATGGCTAGATAATGCAAGGACAGCGTCATCGTCAAATATCAATAAACTTTAAATTCTAATGAACATCTAATACTGAAAAGAGCTATTAAATATAAAAAATTGATAAACAAAGCAAAAGCAACCCCTTAAGAGGGGTTCCAATCATTTATTTCCTGTGTGTAAATTGGGAAAAGAATGTTAAGTATCTTAGCTGAAAATGTTCTTGGACTGTAATTGTTTAGAATGAGTTGGGTTTCTTTTTTTTTTTTTACTTTTAGCTATTAAAGAAAGTTTACTCTGAGTTTTTATGTGTTGAGTACAATTTTTCTTTCAGCAGAAATAAAACAGGCCTTGAAAATAGTTGAAGTTGGCATAAAACAATTCTTTTTTTCACACAGTAATATATTAAAAGAACAAACTTTTGATTCAAAATCATTCATGAAATGAGCCCATGATTCAGACTACTTCCATGCATGTTCAAAAAATACTTTTATTACAATTCATTACCAGTTAAACAGTTGTTCACTAAATACATGACTAAGTAAATCCTAATCTGATGTTTCTTTACACATAATTAACTGAAATATCATTGCAAATGTCTGCTTGTAGGAAGACCCTGCCCTGACAAGGTGGGTGTATGCACGAGCCAATCCCTACCCTCACTTCAGACCCACAAAGAAGACGTCTCTGCTTGGTGCAATGTTTGGAGTGATGCCTCTGTTTGCCCTCTACTACATCTTCAAAACAAACAGGGTATGAGACAAGGGGCCCTTCTGCCTTCTCTTTGCTTTACATTTTATGGACAAGTTTACCCATGAACCTAAGTGTCTAATGTTTACTAGAAATTAACATAATCTGCATCATTCTTTAAGGCTAATTGCTTCATTTAAATATTGTACATATAAATGTAGTAATTGGTTTAATTTATAATTCATTTCATTAACACCATTGTTTTTACCATATTATTTATTTTAAAAATTGTAAAATATAATTTACATCAATTCCTAAAATAAAAACGCTATATATGCATGAATAAAAGATGTATTTATGCCATATGTTAAACAAAAATATTGAGTTTACAGTAAGGAATAAAGTAACTTGGACACTATATAAAGATGAAGTATTTGTGCTGTGCAAATGATATTTGCTGTTGATATTTCTCAGCATTTAATTATGTTTACTTGCCATGTTACTGTACCAGTTCGGTTGTCTTTGTTGGCATGAGACCTCGTTGTGTATGTTACAGTACTAAGAACGTCTGACTAATCAAATCCATCATCCTGACAGTTGATATGAACTCTGCTGCCTACGTACCTTTTGTAGAATTTGAGTTTTTAGAAAGGAGTTACATTTTCAGACCAACTAAAAAGTGATGAGAATCGATGTTCCTTTTGAGACACAGATAGAATTACATTCAAAATAAATGCGTAGCTTGAAATCTCCCCGCTTCCATTTCTCTCCCCATTGTCATGGAGATTTACCCCGTAAATCGTAGTCAATTGGAAGTTCCAGCGAAAATCTGCTGCCGTTGTCTCACTGTGCTGGAGCCATCATGCTCGCTTCTTTCCCCTCTTCTCTGCTGGGTGGAGGGGGGAAAAGAAAACTGCTTTGAAATCACAAAATGCTCACTCATAAAGCACATCGTTGAGAAAATGTCCAGAAGGTGAAGGGGTGAAGTGGGGCGGGGGAATAATGTGTCTTTGTTGCTATGGAGATTGTACCAGCCAGTCATCTGTTTGTCGTCTGTTTTACAGGATAACAAGGAGGAGAAGATTAAGGCCGGAGCCGTCGATCGCAGGTTCTGTTTATCGTCATGAGCTTCAGTACAGAAAGCTCTTCCTGTGATATCCCAGAAATGTTGTGTGTAATCATAATAAAAATAAATAAATTAAATGTCATTGTTCAACAGTTATGTGGCTTTGATTTCAAAGAAGAAATGGGGTCGTGAAAAGTAAAAAAAAAAAAAAAAAAGAGTCAAAAAGCAAGACTGCTGATTAGCAGTTACATTAATAGAGCTGTTTATCAGCAGTATTGTCTAATTTATAGAATAATAAGTAACCTGTAACAATAAGGGAAGGTGATATTTTTTTGTTAAACGCATTTTTGCTGGATGCCCATTCTTCTGCATATTTGCACAGTGTGTATTATGACACCAAATGATTTTCATTTGTAAATTTAAGAATCAAAAACAACACCATGTACTGCAAATTGAGATTTAAATTTTTTGGTTGTTGCACAAACCACTTTTTTATTTTTTATATCATCTTCTGTATCTTGGATAAGCTACTGCTTTCTTGGCTTCCAGTTGGGGTTAAAGTGGCTGCGCAGTGGTTCCCAGCACTGGTAGTAAGTCTTGTCCAGTCTCTGGCAAGTTTGCAGACCCCACTTGGTCACAGCCATGCTGAAGGAGGACTCAAACATGAATGCCTGAAAGGAGGAGAGACCAGTGTAGGATCTAATTAACCATACTGAATATGTTCCATCTATTCACCACTGATCAGTGTACATACATACACTTAAAAACACTTGATTTTTAACAAACACAAGCTCCTCTGTGTGCAGCATTACCATGGTTCCTTCAGCAACCCTCTCTGGTTTCAGCTCAGCAGTGCTGTTCTTCTCAAAGCAGTCAGCATCTGGACCATGAGGGGTCATCATGCTGTGCAGGCTGCCTCCCCCAGGCTGGAAACCTTCCTCTTTAGCCTCGTAATGGCCTTTGATCAGCCCCATGAACTCACTCATGCAGTTACCTGAAACGACAAGCAGGAGGCACTGTAACACAGCTACTTGTTGAGGAACAGAGTGGGGTTCCCCACTAGATGGCCTTAAAGACCTGTGGTGAAAACACAAAAAGATCCTGGCGTGTGAAGTGAGTCATTCAGCAGGTAGGGACACTGTCTGTGCCACTAGCTGGTAAATGAATGTGTTAGCTTCTGGCTGGGTTGCTTAAAAACACAAAATATCTTGGAAAGAGCACATTGTGACATTTCCATCCGAATTCATTTGCAAAATGTGACCCTGCCGTGCTGAAACAGGCGTACATAATTCATGAAGGAAGCATCTGTTATCGCAAACAATCAGACCAAGTGTGGGTGTTGAGTTCTTACGGTGGTAATACGGCGGACGGAAGGTGTTGTCAGCCACCCCCCACCTTGGGGGGAAGATGACAAAGTCCGCAATGGCCACACCTGGCTTTGTGGATTTGGCGGTCAGCACGGTGAAGATAGATGGATCCTAGAGAAGATGGTATACATGTTTCTGTCAAACTCTGTTTGGGTTTATCCCATTACGAGGAAATGGGATAAACCCAAAACAGAGTGCGAGGGCTCTGCTTGTGTCACCAACATACCGCATGGTCAAAGGCCACGCAGTTGATCACCATAAAGTTCTTCAAGTTGTATTTGTACGGTGTGTAGTTCCCGTGCCAGGCAACGACATTGAAAGGAGAGAAATCCTGCGTGTAAAAGCACAAAACAAACAAAAAAAAATAGAAAGAGAAAATAAGAGAAGCCTACCTGAGCAACAAACACAAAAGACGTTAAATTGAGCTTTTCACAGGGAAAGGGGGAACAATGAATAATGTCTTTGTAATCTTAAATTCCAAGAAAAGTACTTCTTGACATAAAGAGAGGGGAAAAAATGGCAATAATGAAAATTGTAAGAGGGTGTTGCTTCTTTCAATCTTTCTTCTCTTTCATTCCCCTCCCGGTTCTTTGTGAAACGAGGCACCAGGTATTATGGGGTAATTGGCTTCACAATCAAACTTTCCCAAACTTTGAGCATTTTGACGCTCTCCGCGGTGCAGTTATTGGAGGAGAAGGGTGGGCTTCGGCAAGTGTGGGTGTAG